CCTCAATGTTTAGGCAAATCTTGCTAGCTGTGGCAGAAGACGAGAAATCTGAAAAAAATGCAGATCTGCAGATCTTGAAGGTAACATCTGGAAGCAACCCGTCATGTTTCCTAAAATGGGGCAATGCTAATGAACAGCACTGATGAGTGCATGGAACACCAACAGCCTGGCCTCTGTTCTGATCTTGTGACTCTTTGATCAGAGTATTCATTCCTTTGTTGAGGACTCTCCAAATCAACTTCTCTGCACAATTCATCCCTCTCAAGCCTCAGCTGAGCTTTGGCCCCATATCACCAGTGCTGCACCAGACATTTCAACTAGGCTATCACTCAAGGCTAACACTTCAAAAACCCACTGATGTGGGTGCCGTGGTGCACGCTTCTAGTCCCAGTCCCTTGGAAGACTGAGTCAGGAGGATCCCTTGAGTCCAGAAATTCAAGGCCAGCTTGGGCAACACAGCAAGGTCCCATCTCTTTTTAAAAACACAAACTCCAACCTCTAAGTTTTCTATTGCTGTAACCATCTTTAGGCAGCACATTCTGGGGCCTCAAATTCCATTAGTTATCAACTGCTGATCAATAATTCCTTTGGTAAAAAGGAGGACACAAAGTCAAAACATTTACTGAAGATTTCCTAGGAACACAAGATCTGCATGTATCTATTTTATTTTTCCCAGTAGCTCTCTGAGGTACGTATATTAATCCCCATTTGCATGGATCAGAAAACTGAAGTTGAGAGTTTAAGCTACTTGACCAAGGGCACACAGCTAGAATATGGCAGAGCCAGATTTCAAATGCAGGTCTGTCTTACTTCAAAGTCCTGTTCTCTCCAACACACAAAGCTGCCTTCCAAAAAGTCTCACAGGATCTTCATACGATCTTCCCCAGCAGACTCCTTGTAGGCCCAAATCTCCATCAGTACCTGCCTCTGACTTACACCTTTTCTCCAACTTATCCCATTGCCAGGTCAATCTTCCTGTAATGTCACACTCGCCATGCCTCGGGAACTGCACATTTCATTAATTAAAATTCACAGAATTAGTCAAAAAGGCTACTATTAAAAAGTCAAAAAATAACAGACGCTGGTGAGGTTGTAGAGAAAAGGGAACACTTACACACTGCTGGTGGGAATATGAATTAGTTCAGCCACTGTGAAAAGCAGTTGGGCAATTTCTCAAAGAAATTAGAACTACCATTCAACCCAGCAATGTCACTACTGGGCATATACCCAAAGGAATATAAATAGTCCTATCATAAAGACACATGCAGACGCAGGTTCACTGCAGCACTATTTACAATACCAAAAGCACGGAGTCATCCTAGATGCCCATCAAAAATAGACTGAATAAAGAGAATGCTGCACATATACACCATAGAATACTAAGCAGTCATAAAAAAGGACAAGGTCACATAGTGGCTCACACCTATAATCCTAGCACTTTGGGAGGCTGAGGCAGGTAGATCACGTGGTCAGGAGTTCAAGAGCAGCCTGGCCAACATGGTGAAACCCCATCTCTACTAAAAATACAAAAGTTAGCTGGGCATAGTGGCATGTGCTTGTAATCCCAACTACTCGGGAGGCTGAGGTAGGAGATTTGCTTGAACCGGAACCCAGGAGGCGGAGGTTGCAGAGAGCCAAGACTGAGCCACTGCACTCCAGTCTGGGAGACAGAGTGAGACCCTGTCTCAGAGAGAAGCAAAAAACAAACAAACAAAAAACAAGGTCACATCCTTTGCAGCAATATGGATAGAGCTGGATGCCATTATCTTAAATACACTAATGCAGGAAGGCAAAATGTTTCCCTCCAATAAGTCAAACGTTTAGTTTACATGAACACAAAGAAGAGAACAGACATCCGGGTCTACTTGAGGGTGGAGGCTGGGACGAGAACAAAGATAGAAAAACCATCTATTGGGTACTATGTTTACTCTGGGTGACAAAATAATCTGTACACCAAACCCTCGTGACATGCAATTTACCTATATAACAATCCTACACCTGTACCCCGAAACGAAAAGTCAAAAACATCACAGAACCATTAATGAACTCTAAAAAGGCAGACAAGCCCTCTCCTGCGGTGGCGTCCAGCCTGAACTCCTTGGCTTGGCTTCAACCTGCCACACAACCTTCAAGTGAACATTCATTACGTACTTACTCTATGTCAGGTATTGGGAATGATAAACATGAACAGTCTTTGCCCTCGAAGATCTTATAATCTATTCCTTTTGCTCCAAGATCTCCTCTCTGCCAAAACACACCTATGCCTACTGTCCTGACAAGCCTGGTCTCTTGATTGAAGCCTCTCAGCCCTGCGTGGGCACACGCTCTCTCTCACCTCCTAGGAAGGGCTCCTCATTCTTCTCCTCCATAAGCCCTCCTCACCTTGTGATTTCTATTTCTTCTACAACGACCTCTTCGTGGAGAGCGCTCACTTCTCTGAATGCCGGTCCCCAACTGGTCTGGCCCACACCATCTAACATTTCATTTAGATTCAGTTCAAATGCCTCCTCTGAGTAGAAGGCAGGGTAGTATCATGGAAACACCATGCACGAATCCGAGAGAGCTATTTTACAACGTGGGACCTTGGCCAAATCCAAGTCTCCCTGAGTCCCATGTTAGACTTCCGTAAAACAGAGTTATTAAGTTGGTTGTTGTGAGGATCTTCTACAATAATGCTTATAAAATGACTTATAAATGTGGTAGGACTGATGAAATTTAATAGCCTTTCTTCTTTTTTTTTTTCCTTTTTGAGACAGAATCGCTCTGACTCCCAGGCTGGAGTGTAGTGGCGTGATCTCTACTCACGGCAACCCCCATCTCCTGAGTTCAAGCAATTCTCATGCCTCAGCCTTCTGAGTAGCTGGGGTTACAGGCGTGAACCACCACGCCCAGCTAATATTTGTATTTTTAGTAGAGATATATTTTTAGCAACACGTTGGCCAGGCTGGTCTCGAATTCCTGACCTCAAGTGATCTACCCACCTCGGTCTCCCAAAATGCTGCAATTACAGGTGTGAGCAACCACGCCCGACCCAGTCTTTCTTCTAACAACAAGATACTGATTCTAGAAAGCCCTGAACAACCCCATAAGTATAAAAACAATAACAATGATACCTCTTGCTATAACTGTTGCTTTTCTACGCAAAGTATCTAGTCAATGTTCCAATGTGGTTCTTCAATAACTTCTTATGGTCTCCTCTCTCCTCATTCATTTTTTGTATTTTACTCATTGCTTGTTTCCGACTCCTGTGCCCCACTCAAAAGAATGCCAATATGAACCACACTGAATAACCGATTGGGACCCAACAAAAGGCTGCCCAGGAAACTCTTCCACTTAGAAAGGTGTAGGCCTTTAGCTCCTTCCCACTCTCCAAATGCCACGCCAGGGTACAAAAAGACACTGATGGCATTGGGCTTTATGGCCAATAAAAGATAAATAGTAGAGACAAGGCGCAGTGGCTCATGCCTCTGATTCCAGCACTCTGGGAGGCCAAGGCAGGCAGATCACTAGGTCAGGAGTTTGAGACCAGTCTAGGCAAAATGGGCAGACCCCTCGTCTCAACAAAAAAAAAAAAAAAAAAAAAAGAGCTATGCGTGGTGGCAGGTGCCTATAATCCTAGGTACTCGGGAGGCTGATGCAGAAGAATTGCTTGAAACCGGGAGGCAGGGGTTGCAGTGAGCTGAGATCGTGCTACTGCACTCCAACCTGGGCAAGAGAATGAGACGCTGACACAATAACAAATAAATAAATAAAAGGAGTAGAGCCTCAGTGGAGAGGCCAGGGGAGACAATGGAAAGGCCATCCCATCAATTCAGCTACGGTTGGAGCTGAGCAGGCAATCCTGATTTAGTGCCATGTGTTATTTTTGAGCTGATTGTTCCGGTTGGTTTCGTATTTTCAAGCATACTTTAAGTTCTCTGAAGGTAAAGCTGGTAGTTATCTGCAGACCTTCCCAAGCACGTCACAGGATGTTACACACAGAGAAAACGTCAACAGTTTGTATTGATGAAGGAGAGAAAGAGAGGGGGGCCACACGGAGGGAGAAGAGACAAAGGGATGACAGAGAAAGGATCCCACTGTTGTTACCTCTTTTTGAATATTTATTTCTTTTCAAATATCTAGTATAGTGGTTTCCAGTGAGAGCAGGGCTGATTCCCAGCGGGGTATTTTGGAAATCTGTGCAGGTGGTTTTTGTTGTTGCTATAATTAGAGGATGCCATTGGCTAAATTTAGAAGGTGAGGTCCAGGGATGATCAATATTCTGCAGTGTACAGGGAAATTCCACACCACGAACAACAGTCCCTTGCCTCTCATGACTTTCACATGTCTCAGCAGATAGTCATTTTAGTGAAAAAGACATCGATAAGCATCTATGGAAAAAATCTAAACCACATTTTACATTTAAACGCTGAGTGTTTCTGCACATTTTAATGTATGCTGACTTTTCGAGCAAAGCATCTACCATGTAAATTAAGGGAAGATCGTACTCTGTTTTGTTTGGAATTTTACCAAGAGCTGCTCGTCATTTTGTAAAGTAATGGTACCAGTGGCAGCGCTGCTGGCAGCGTCTGAGTCATCAAATGACACACCTGTGTCTTTCTGCATTTGTAGCTGTCACGTGTACGGGAATTCTGTTGATGCCTGGACACGATCATTTCATCTTGTCATTAGAGCACTGAGGTGGCCAAATGTCTTGGCTTGCCTGGGACTGAGTGGTTTTCTGAATGTAGAATTTTCAATGCTAAAACTGGGAAAGTTCCAGGCAAATGAGGATGAGCAAGCCACTCTACTGAGTATTAACATACTGAGATGCACTACGCTTTCAAAATCACACAACCTATACTTTTTCATACCCCTTTTTTTTTTCTTTGAGATGAGCTTTCACTCTTGTTGCCCCGGCTAGAGCGCAACGATGTGACCTCAGCTCACTGCAACCTCCACCTCCCTAATTCAAGCCATTTTCCTGCCTCAGCCTCCCAAATAGCTGGGATTACAGGCACCCGTCACCATGCCCGGCTAATTTTTTGTATTTTTAGTAGAGACGAGACTTCACCATGTTGGCCAGGCTGGTCTCAAACTCCTGACCTCAGTTGATCCACCTGCCTTGGCCTCCCCAAATGTTGGGATTACAGGTGTGAGCCACCACGCCCGGCACTTTTTCTTTTTCTTTTTGAGACGGAGTCTCACTCTGTAGCCAGGCTGGAGTGCAGCGGCTCAATCTTGGCTCACTGCAACCTCCGCCTCCCGGATTCAAGCAATTCTCCTGTCTCAGCCTCCTGTGTAGCTAGGATTACAGGCACGCACCATCACGCACAGTTAATTTTTGTATTTTCAGTAGAGACGGGGTTTCACCATGATGGCCAAGATGGCCTTGATCTTTTGACCTTGTGATCTGCCCAGCTCAGCCTCCCAAGTGCTGGGATTACAGGCATCAGCCACCGTGCCCAGCCGCCCAGCACTTTCGCATACCTTCTACATACACGTTGTGCTACGCATATGGAAAGTGATGAACAAATATTTATTAAATAAATGGGAGAAGAGGGAGAGCGAAAAGCAGGCCATTTACTCAGAGTTGCTAAAATTAATTGTTCTATGAATATGCGCCTTTCTAGAAATGTGGGGCTGACACCAAGGCACACCTTCTCACCATCCCTCAGACTGAACACAGCTCATATTCTTACAGTTTTCTGCAAAGTAGTTCTCCAAAACATCTTTGAGGGGAAGGGAGGTTGGCCTGCCCTCTGAAAAAAAATCATGATGTCACAGGAGCACACATTTCAAGGGAACTTCAAGGTCACTAAATCTGGATAATCTTTTGTACTCAAAGGTCTTCAATCATATGTTTTTGGCCAATATATTTAGTCTGTTATTTTTGTTTTTATTTATTTACTTATTTTTTGAGACAAAGTTTCCCTATTGTTGCCCAGGCTGGAGTGCAATGGTGCGATTTCAGCTCACTGCAGCCTCCGCCTCCCAGGTTCAATCAATTCTCCCGCCTCAACCTCCCAACCAGCTGGGATTACAAGAATGCACCACCACTTCTGGCTAATGTTGTATTCTTAGCAGAAATGGGGTTTCACCATTTTGGTCAGGCTGGTCTCAAACTCCTGACCTCAGGTGATCTACCCGCCTCGGCCTTCCAAAGTGCTGGATTACAGGTGTGAGCCACCATGCCCAGCCTGGTCAGTCTTTTGAAAGGCAATACAACTAGACTGGTGCTGTGCTTGGTGACAATGCTAGAGACATGGCGCTTACCCCCTTACACATGGCATGCTTTGCATATTGACACTGCCTGCCTTCCACCTGCATACATGTGAGTCTGAGACCTCCCTGTTATCAGAACACAAATCCCCTCCGGAGTTTTCAGAAATGATCCTGAGCCTCGCCTTGAGCATTTGCTTTGAGATAATAAGGAATAACTGGGAAACCGTTTTCTTTTTGATTCATTTGTGGTCACAAGAGGGAACCGACTACAGCTCACAGGAAAATAAGGAGTGCAGAAAAAGAGTGGGGTGCTCTGGGTTAGCCGATGTCCCCAGAGAAAACTCAGCTGTCAGCAAGACGGCAACGCTCCTGCATCCCAAACACAGCTGCTCATCTGTAATCTCGAGGCAATTTTTTTTCGGGGGATAACTAGCTGAAAAGGAGAGAGCAGAAGTGAGACGCCAGGAACACGTTTCTGACGGTAATATCAGAACAATACTGCGAAGCGGATTGCTCTCTTTTGTCAGACTGCACCTCTTTCAACTCCACCATCTTTAGGAAATACAGGAAGTGTACCAGGGACAGGGAGCCAGGCTACATTTGGGGGCAGGGAATGGCATCGTTTCCTCACTGGAACAGAGTTTTCGTGTTTAATATGGTGAGTGTAGAAGCTTTTTCGGGAATGCTGCCTAATGCCATATAGAAGGTGAATTCTGGGGTGGGACTACCAGGGTTTGAATCTGTTTCATTTCTTCCTATTCGCGTCACTTTACCAGTCAAGGGCAAGTTCTGTATCTCTTAATCAGTCTCTTTATTTGTTAAATAAGGATGATGATATAGGATTTATGTGATAGAGATGGTTATGAAGACAAACTGAGGGAGATCAAGGTAGAGGAAATGTTTAGTCCAGTTCCTGGTCACTACTTGGTAATCAGCATTAGTAAGTCATTATATTTTTTTTTCTAAATTTTTTTTTTGAGGCAGAGTCTCGCTCTGTTGCCCAGGCTGAAGTGCAATGGTGTGATCCTAGCTCACTGCAGCCTCCACCTCTTGGGTTCAAGCAATTCTCTGCCACAGCCTCTTCAGTAGCTGGGATTACAGGTGCTGGCTAATTTTTGTATTTTTAGTAGAGATGGAATTTCACCATCTTGGCCAGGCTGGTCTTGAACTCCTGACCTCGTGATCCACCTGCCTTGGCTTCCCAAAGTGCTGGGATTACAAGCATGAGCCACGGTGCCTGGCCAGTAAGTCATTATATTTTCACAGCTCTATAGAGATATAGTTAGCATGCTGCACAATCAGCCATTCTTTTTAACTATATCTGCTGTTCAAAGACCATCTAGAGCCCATAATTTGGATAGGTGTTATTAGACAACATTGTCTGTGAAAAGAAAATAAATTTTTGGGACCCCAAAATCACTAAGCTAAAGAAAAAAGTCAACCTGGGAACTGCCTCAGGCAAATCTGCTTCCCATTTTATTCCTAAATAAAATAGCTACAAAGATTTAAAAAAAAAAAAAAAAAAAAAAAGCTACATACCTCACTCAAAATTTGCCTGCTAGGAAATTCCTTGTGAAACTCAAGATCTTTATCCTAAAACAGTTCTGTTGAATTTATCACTTGGCAATGTAAGCAATGTAAATTGATAGCTGATCTTCACAGAAAGTCATCCCTCCAGTTCACCTGAGACAAATGCGTGTCTGATTGCTTCCCATGCTCTATTTATGTAAAAATGCAGATTCACTGAGCCAGAAGAAGGCATAAGTGACTATTTCTCTATCCTTCCTCTCACTGAAAATTGTGTATTCAGTGAATACATGATCAAAGACTCAAAAGAATGCAACACTTTGTCTCTATCTACCTATGACCTGGAAACTCCCTGACTGCGACCAGTCCCTCCTTTTAGGACCAAACCAATGCACATCTCACACATACTGATTGATGTCTCACGTCTCTGTAAAATGAATACAAGCGAGCTGTATCCTCACCAGCCTGGGCACATGTTGTTGGGAGCTTCTAACGCTGCGTCATTAGCACGTCCTTAACCTTGGCAAAAAAACATTTCTAAATTGATTGAGACAGGTCTCAGATAGTTTGGGTTCTTACGTCCTTTAAATGAAGCAACATTTCCTTTTTGGTTCTGTTCCCTCTTCCCCCCCTCCACCGCCCAAAGAATACTGGAGTATTAATTACACCCAAAAGACACTCTCAAAAGGTGTAGATTCATGACCAGATCATCAGCGAGGAGGGCAGAAGCAAGAGAAACTCAAAACAGCGATGTCAAAGGGTGGATAACTAACGTTAGCAGAACGTGCATGCAGGACCTTTTCATGCACGCAACATGCAGCTTCGGTGACATGACTCGGACGTAAGTCATGATGTGCTGCCCTGTGATTCTTTGGCTGACACTCCCTGGAATCCAAGGACAGCGGGGAGCCTTCTGAGCCTGTCACAGCGCTCTTTTCTCAGGTCATAGAAATAACTTTCCTGGGAAAAGTTTTCAAAGAGATGAAAAAGAAGAGCTCGGAGCTGTGTGGCGGCTCACAGTCAGTTTCCAAAGCGCCACTGGTGACAAGAAATTCCGGAAGGAATGTTCTCGGAAAAAGCCCCGCCTGGGGCGTGAGAGACCCTGACGCTCGTATACATAGATTTTTTCCTTCTTTCTTCCTTCTTCTTAGATGAATCAGGAGATCAACTGACTGCAATTATGGGGCTGCGGCAAAAGCAAGGCAAGGCCGATGGGTCCTTTCCAAGAAAGGGTTTGCTGTCAGTTATAAGGAAAGACGAATTTTGCAATCTCTAAAAAGCTCTTTGTTAAAAGTTTTTACTCGGTAATTATGCCGTCCGAAGATTCTTTGTCAAAGTCCCTCTTTGTTTAGATATGCTTGCTTGTTCTTTTGGGTTCAACAAAAGATGAGGGAAAAATGTGTCAGTCTGTATTCCAAATAAGGTAGATGAAAACTACCTGTCCTCATGGAACCTTAATTTCATGTCCAAGAAAAGTAGGAAAAGTGTTCAGAGTATCCCCAAAGCTTGCCTGTGGTTAGACACAACCCCCCACTGCCATGGACACACATACCACCATGTTCCCCACAAAATGTCAGTAGGCTTCTCCAGATCTTAGGGCTCAGATGAGTAATTCCACCTTCAAGCAATGGGTTAGAACCAGTATGGCTATGACCTAGGAAGTAGTAAGCACTGCAATTCATTGATAACAAATGGAGAAGCCCTTTGGTCATCATCAGTCTCTTATTGTCCTGCAAATTCTATTTCATCGCAGTAAAAATAGTCCAAGTGCTTGGATAAAGGATCCCTGACCATCCCAGATCTAAAATACTCACCCTCGGCAGAAACCAAACCTCTTTCCACATTCCTCAAATCAGCAGCATCCATATTTGCATCTGAGTCTCAGGTCTAACTCCTTTTTCCCAGAATCCCTCCCTCTAAGTCAATGGCTCTTTCCTCGACCTCTTGAGGGGTAAAGGTGAGCCCTATTTCACTCACCCATGCATATGCTGATTAAGCTCTAATTATGTCAAGCTCAATGGGCACTGGGAGAGGGAGGAGGATAGGGCCCAATCTCTGCTCACAGTCCAGACGGGGCAAGAATAGGGACCACAGGGGACACTCTCAGAGGAGAAGCTCAGCAAATGCTTGGGAAATAAGTGATACCTTCCAAACAAGCTTCCGCTGTACACCAGCAACCTGAGCCATTGTGTGCCTGCCATAGTTTCCTCTTTGAGCTTCAAAACACATGAAGTATACTGAAGGCTAAAGGAGCTCCAGGCTTAAATCAGTTTCATCCAGAATCTCCCCAATGGATTTAGCCATGGAGGC